GTCAGTATAATAAAAATAATAAATATATATAAATGTATAATGTTATGATATTTAGTCTAAACATTTATGTTTTCATGTTATAATTTGTTGTCATTCTAAAATGAAAGAGGACTAATTTAAAAAATCAGTTCCTAATTTTTATGGTGGTTACAGAGATTGGACAAATCTACTGTTTTTGAAAATAACATATAAAATATTATGTTTTTCTTAAGAAACATTTGATAACTATCTGGACATTAGAAAAATTTTGCATGTGAAATTCGAAGGTTTTCTGATGCATAAAAGTATTTTTAATCTTAAAATGAAAATTACTTTGCATGTTGAATATGCAACATGCGAAAAGAAAAAAAAAGCACGAGAAAAACTTTTCTTTACAAACCTTAAGACTTAATAAAAAAAATTTGATATTTTGTGTATAAAAGCATTGTAATGTTTTCTGATAATCTGCCAAATTTCGTTAACATACGCTTACTGATTTAAAAGTTATAATGTGAAAACTATATCAAGCACAAAATGGTTACGAGATCAGTCCCAGGGACCGAGCCCATGCCGAAAGAGTTAAAATAAACAAGTTCTTCCTGTTGGAATTAATCCAGCTTAATATTTCAACTTTTATAGGACAGTTAGATTTGTACAATTTTTATTGTTCAACAAGGTCATTATAGTTGGAGTGTCACAGAAGCATTATATACCTTCAAATACCATTACATATCATCACAATATCTATGACATTTATTCAGAAGCAAAGTAGAACTATTTTGAAGTACCATTAAGACTACTAGCTCTTATTCTTGACAAATCCTAGATGCCTAATTTTGTCTTTAATAACCAAATAAGTGAAACTGAGGCTTGCAGTAGTAGAAATCTGGTAACATAATTGGCTAAAACATGTGTTCAGATAGCAGAATCATGGATTCTAGTCCTCTCCAGTCGCAGTTTTTTGTTTCTTCAAAAAGATTTACAAATTATATAAATGTAAAACCAACTCTCTTTTAGTTATTTGGAACATTTATTTAGAAGCAATATTCAATTAGTTAGAAGTAGCACTAAACTTGTCCGATTGTTTTATGTTTTTATTTAGTGGAATAATTTTTGTATTTGTAATATAAAACCATTAATAATTTTGTTTTTGCAAGGTTTTTTACTGTAAGATAGCTGCAAAGAATATTTCCTGAAAATACTTCTATATAAGTGTAAAGCTCTTTCAACCAGAAATTTCAAGGAACTGGAATTCATTACAATTCTATCTGGAATGTCTCAATGTTTTTGAAGCTTCTCAACAGTTTGCAACTGTAGTTAACTGATACTGTCGCTTAGCGGCACTGCTGTAATTTTGTTTACATTCTTTCAACTTCAGTTGTTAGTTACCTGTAGTGTGATTCACATTGTGCTTACTTTATCTGTACATATTTTCTACATCCTGAAGTTATGGCTTCCAATTCTAGCAAGAAATAAATGTTTTAATACACTTTAGGGCTTTTTAAAACACTTACTGTTGTTTAAAACTATTTTTGCCATAGATGATGTAGAAATTCTGTACTTTAGAGCATTAACAAGGGGGTCAAAATTTTTCCAGTAAAATATTGTAATGGAAATGATATTGTAACCAGACTTTTCACCAATCCATATAAAACATTTACTGTATATAGAATCCTACATAATAAATATCATGTTAATTAGACTTAATTGAGCAAGATGTATGGTTGTAAACTTCACATATTTTACATATCTGTGATGCCAGAAATCATATAATAATTGTTTTTTTTCCCTGAAAATAAGTTTCCATAACTTTGAAACAAACCATAACATTAAATTTTCAACAACAGTTACTTCATATACATATTCATGAAAAACTTATGCAACTTTAATAGTTATAAATGCAACATAAGAAATTTGCTTACCCAGTCAAACTTCTCAGATGCCCTCATTTCAGGCTGAAAAAATAAAGCATAAAAATGTTTTTCAGTAAAATTTCTTTTACCATACATGCATGTGTAAATTGAAAAACAATTAAATTTATATACACCAGAAAATAAAGTCTGAACAATATTTTTAGATGATTTTTGAGTTTAAAGAAAAACTATTGCTATATATGAAGTACTAGGAGGAAGAAGCTTCCCTGGCAAGAAATATAATAATTTACATTTACTTAAATAGTGGCATTTATTTAAATTTATTAGCCAGTATCATCACATGTGCAATTATTATTAATACCAAGCAATATGGAAGTAAAACTTAATGATATGTCTAATAATGGCTGGAGACGGCTTGAATGGGTAATGAAGAAAAACTTTAATATAAGTTTAACATAACAGCA